CCTTCGCATTACGAGTGCGACGCTCTACCACTGAGCCACAAATGCTTCAGTTGTTGGAGTGGCAAACTACATAATTTATGTAGCTAATTGATGTGCTGGGGAGTTTGGGTCGGGGTGGGGGTGGATGGTTGGGGTGTGGGATTCTTGGTGGATTATGGTTTTTTGTGTTGTTGTTTCTAGCTTTCTGGTGTATGGATAAGTCGACGGGTCTGGCTTCTAGTATTCTGATATTTGTTTTGGTGAGACTGGCATGGTGCTTGGATGGCAAGCTCATCTCTGCTGGTATGCAATATATATGCAACCGAGTCGGGACAATTCTCAGTTGTCTACCGCAGGTAAACGGGTCGAATTTGTCGTTGAAACACACCCAATCCACCGAAATGCATAAAGGACACCGTGATATTCCACGCAACTATCATATGACATGTGGTCGTTGATGCCGAGTTGTCTGCAACCGCAACCCCGCAATTGTACTGCAGCCAACCCTGCAAGGCTGCAACATCCACCGTGTACGGAGTACGGTAGACAGATCTCATCGACACCCCCCCGGTCAGATCTGAGACGGCCATCGATCACCCAAAGTGCCTCCCGCCTACCGGCCCAGAGAATACTGCAGCTGGTCGCTAACAGTCACTAGCTCGGCCCATGCCACTTTATCCCCTACAAGCCAAGACTTTCTCGAATTTCGGGCGGATCCCCAAGATCGAAAAGCCCGCAGCCTTAATCTCGCTCAAGGTGGAACAACGTAGATTCTACGCTGTGAAGTCTGGACTAGAAGCGGGTTGATATTGACCTCAAAGATAAACAGAGGGGGATAATCTCCCCGCCAACGATGCCGGTGTTGTTGCTGCTGCAGAAGTAACCCCCCCGCCGGCGGAAGCAAGGGCCGGGCCATATGTGAGGGTCACTGTCAATTGACTCAAGAGTGTCAGACATTGTTGGATGTGCACGAGACCTTCGCAGACGAGGGCGGTCTAGATCTCCATGCAGGTCGAGACCGGTGTGAGTATACAGGAGGCGTTGGACAGACGGCGATCATAATCTCCGTCCACGTCCAATGCGGCTATATCCACCACACTGAAGCATTATCCCTCTGGATATGTTCCAAGCGAGTGCATGATCGATCCGCGAGACCGCATGAAGAATGAGCACGGAGTACCACCAAAAGACCCAGAGCCCCCAGCAGCGCGAGGGAAGTGGGTTCCTCGGGGTATACAGAAGCCAGGAGACAAGGTCAACCTTTGGTAGGCACGATACCAAGGCCAACACCAGACCCCAGAAGATGATTGGCGAGTTACAGTTCACTCAGATAAATTGCGCGACAAATCATCACGAATGCGCATAGGAATTGAATCGCTGCGCTTCAAGAACAGAGCCTGTCACATAAAACGGGCCAAAAAAAGTTTCCCAAAGACCTGCATTTTCGAGGTGCCGTGGGCCAAGATGGCAATCCTCTTGGATCATCCTGATACTGGGTAAGCCAAGAAGCTGTCACCATTGTGCGATCGGCTGGATTGACGCTCGATGCAATATGCCGTTTCCCTGCGTTGCAAGTGATACTCGACATGTCGCGCCGGACAGAAAGCGACATCAAAGTGTCCGGTCGATGATGACATATGTTGATGTAGCACAACCGACTGCGCTGAACCCTGTTGCCCAGCAGGCGGGATTCTGAAGCATCCCCTGACACACACGTGTGCGCCATAACCCGGTGGCAGTGCCGGCACACAAACTCACAAATGTTGGCGGATGCGCCCTGATGTTTCAAGGGCCATGCCATCAGAAAGAGGTGTCAGGGCATCGGTCAAAAATGGTTAGAACGTTCCATGGGTCGCGTGCACAACTTACATAGAAATTGCTGTCGGTAGAAAATTCTGACAAGCTTGCATACTCTTTCATGCCATCTGGACCAACAATTCGGGATGTTTATTTGGCATCCAGAGCCGAACCAACAGGGGAGTAAGAGTGTCAGTGAGCCTGGAACCACGGGTGAAGTGACCGACCCCGACTTCGGGGAGGAGGATGGGGGGGCATGGATGGCACGATTCACAGGCCGGACCGAACAAACGGGACGCTGACTCCATAACTAGGCACTGGCGTTTTGGTATGTTTTTCTCTCTCACTTCACTCTTTCTTCTTTTCCAGGTTCTAACGTTCTAGACTCGACCCCATCGTCGTCCCCATCCCATCCTGGTCTCCATCATCGTCAAAGCAACAAAGGGGAGACAACGAAAGGCAGAGAGTGATCAACTCATTTCCACGCCCGTGTGCTGAGACAATCTCGCTGAGGGGGGCAAAAGTGGAAAAAAAGTGGACAGACGTCTCGTCTCGATCACCCAATCTCCGCTTTCCAGTTGGGGGGATTCGGCCCAAGGTGAAACATTAGCGGGCGCCAGGCGGGCTCCAGATGGGCTGCCGAGTTGCCAAGTTTTTAGGTCGTCAATCATTGCTCCGGTTTGTCGGCTTCGCTTACTGTTCCTCGCACTCTAAGACCAATGAGGAAGTTAGTAGAGTTCAGCAGTAAGATTATGGGCTCTCTTTTTGACATTATTATTCCTTGTTGATTATGTGTGTTGACCGGCTTGATTACTTGACATTCATTTGAGAGTGTTTGGGTGTATAGTGGTTAATCTCGCCGGGTTCCGATGGCTGAAGTTTAGTCAGGTCCCGAGGGTTGGCGGCTCTCCTGGTTGTCCACTGCAACGCATGCACGGACATTACCTCGTCTGGTCTTTATCTTCGGAGATTAAGACAAAACAGCCTCGACTCCTTTGACCGTTTGTTGTTCATCGTTCAGTTGACTGAACAATTAATGCGATAAAGCCAACACCGGATGATGTGGGTAGACAATGAGGATAAAGAGCCGTTCAATCTTTTTATCCATACAATCATCCATCCACTCATTCAATCCATCCACTTATCCCCATCATCATCATCATCAATCAAGAAAATGATAAATTCCGCAATGCGCAATGTAAAGATGGTCCAAGAGTGGAGCCACCACCACCACCAATCACTCGAGTGATCGCCTCTGATTTGCCCGATGGGGGACGGTACCTGAAACGGGCGGCGGCATCAACGCTGTTACTCGTCCCAATCGGGCTTAGTGGCAGCCAGGGGGAAAGCACAGGAAACCAATTCAATGTAAACGACCCAGGGGTTGCAACAACTCCTGCAACAGGAAGCAAAAAAGAAGACACGAAATCACGAATCATCGATTTTTCTTGGACCCTGACACCATAAGCAAAAGAGATTCCTTGTGTTTCCCTTGTGTATCAGAGCAGTCATGAGTAGGAATGTATCGGAGTGGAAGCATGAAGGATTTCTAAATGATCTTCTCCGGTATGTGGTTGGGAGATCCCACGAGGAGGCGTCCATCGGAATGGACGCGTGAAGAGGCGCTTAGTCGCCTGGATATTAATGACCAGCGGGGACCTACCTCTTAAATTGAGCATGCAAAGAGATTGAGCTCTACGTATGCTGTCTACGTTTTCTCTTGGTAGACTGGAAGAGAAAAAGGCGATGCCTCCCACTTTCCCTCCCCAATACCCGGCCCGCCTCGTCATCGAGATCGGTCTGAAAAGACTAAGACTATAATCACTCAACAACTAAACACTCACCACACTACTTTCTCCGAACCCACTGGTCTGGTGCTTCTGAGAAAAAGCTTCCCCGTCCGAAAGTAATTTACTTTTAATTATCAACGATCGCCCGACCCCACCAGGGACACGCCGCCCGCTGGAGCCCTTCTCCTTTCCGTCATTACCTGCCCGCCCCAGAGAGATCCCGCCGTCGCCGTTCCAGACTATATTATCACTTCCTCCTCCATCCCTCCCCCATTTCTTGTCTCTTTCTTCCTTACCGTTGGCCTCACCTCACCTCTCCCCCCCAACTTTTGCTTCTTTCCCTCAACTTTGCCGTTGGTACACTTTTTTCACTCTTTCAAAAAGTGTTTTCCACGGCGGTCACTCTTTTAACCTGTCTATACGCACCCTGGTGATACGTACATACTTTCCCTCCCTCCAACACACCCACCTCTCTCGCAGTCGATCTGCTTGTTGCTGAACAGAAACACACTTCGTGCTTTCGAGTCCTTGCCTGGTCCCTCGGTCAAATAACTTCCCGGAGAAGTCGTTGCTTGCAAACGGACACAGTTGACCTGTGAAAACACAACTCAATCTTCATCAAAACGGTTAAAACAACATCAACCACTCAACATGCGTTACTCCCTCGCTCTGAGCGCCCTCTGCGCCGCTGGTGCCTTGGCCCACAATGTTGACAAGCGTGCCTACGTGACTGACTGGACGGTCGTGACCCTGACCACCACTATCACCGAATACCCCGCTGCCGCCGCTACCACCGCCACCGCTGCCACCACCACCGCGGTCACGAGCGCTGAGCCTGCAGTCCAGGTGGCCGATGTCGCCGATGTCGCTGCTGAGGCCTCCACTGTTGCTCAAGTCGCTGCGGTTGAGACCAGCTCGACTGTGGCCGTTCCTGTCGTTGAATCGACCTCGACGTCGACGAGCACAACCGAGGCTGCCCCTACCGTTGCTGCTACCACCGAGGCTGCGACCACTGAGGCTGCGACCACTGCGGCCCCTACCACCGAAGTTGTTGCCACCACTCCTGTTGTGCAAGAAGCTGCTGCCAACGGCGCCTGGACCACCGCCTGGACCTCTTACTGGACTTCGTCCTGGACCTCTGCCGCGGAACCCACCACTCTTGCAACCTCCACCTCCACCACTGAGAGCGCCAGCAGCACCGCGACCGCCAGCACTGCTTACCAGTCCGCTGTTCTGTACAACCACAACATCCACCGCAGCAACCACTCCGCAAGCTCCTTGGACTGGGACTCTTCCCTCGAGTCCAGCGCTTACACGCTTGCTGCTAAGTGTGTCTACGAGCACGATACGTAAGGAATCCCTCGAGCCCACGCTTAGGTTCGAATGCTAACCAACCACAGTACCATTGATGGCGGTGGCTATGGCCAGAACATCGGTTACGGTGTCGAGTCCAGCGCTATCGGCGAGATGATCACCAACTTGATGTACAACGACGAGATGGGCTACTATACCGATCTGTACGGAGAGGCTGACCCCGACATGACCTACTTCGACAACTGGGGCCACTTCTCTCAGATCGTCTGGAAGGGTACCACGAAGGTTGGCTGCGCCACTGTTACCTGCGCCAGCCTGGGTAACGTTGATGCTGCCGAGGCATTGCCCTTCACTGTGTGCAACTACAGCCCTGCCGGTGAGTTTTCTCTGAGAATCAAACATGTTGTGCGGTTGACTAATGGGGTGCATTTAGGTAACTACGCCGGTGAGTACGGCACCAATGTTGGCAAGCCCCTGGGCAACGCCATGTATGTTGCTTCTTAAGGATTGAGACGTGTTATCTTGTTTCGCACGACTGTGTTCGGAGACGACGGCCCTAGTACTTCCCCGACGTGCAACATCCAGGCTCTCGAAAGCTATGACGAGTAGCTGGCCCTGATTGTCTGGAGTAAAGCTGTCGAAATGGGTTGAGTTATGCCTTGGTGTGAACCTCAACCCCTGTGGCAAGGATATGGGACTACCCCCGGATATCTGACCGTACGCGAGCAAACCAATCGAACAATGAAATGTCTGACACTTTCTCGGCCTTTTCCTTTTTGCATCCTGTTCTTCTTCCCGCTTTCTTCATGCATCCACGACCTGGTTTATTTGAACTTCGCGTGTATGTGTGTTCTCTGCCCGTTGCCCTTCCATCTCGTGCTGGCTTAGTGCCTGCCCAACCCTGCCCAGCTTTTTTGTTGACGTGGGAAAAAGAGTGAACGATCTGCAGCGCCTCCATTCCTCAGCCAAGCCACCCACAATGGAGACTCCACTCGGCCAGACCTGGCAGCACGTGTTGGGCGACTTTATTTTCTCTTCTCTTGTGCATATTTACTCACATTGGTTCACTTCATGAAGCCACGCTTATTGTAGTGCCATGAACTATTTGATTGACCATCTTCTCTTGCTGTGTGATTTAGCTTGCATTCGGGTGTTTTGAGCGTGTATCTTCTCATGTGGCCATGCGTGCCCTGAATGCTACATAAGATTTGATACTTATGAATGAAATAAATAAAGACCTGAAATGTGAAGTGTTACTCAGTAGATGGCCTGGCGGGGGCAGCGATGCGGTGTTGACTACCTAGTAACTTAGTAAGTTCAAGTTCCAGTTCCGTTACCTGGGTTGGTGATATGAACTTCTCCATTACGCTTCGACTCTCGAGCCGTGTGCCTGAGGCATCAAAAGATCACCCAGCAACGCTCCTCTGCTCAGAATGTAAGTAGTAGTTCTTATGCTACACATGCTAATGGGCGGTCTGACGTCTGTCAATATGAGTATGAACGATCGTTACGCTGAAGCGATAAAATCGGTCCTCCCCGCCCGACCGCAATGTACGGTACATCTCTCTGCCTGAGGCAGAAGCGCTGTCTACCGCCTTGGGGACAACAATTAAGGTTCTGGGGAAAGAATCACGGCTTCGATCCCCCGCAACCAACCAGACGAACCTCCCTTCGCCCGAAACGTCATCAGCCACCTGGGCATTATCGCTGCCCGCTGCGACCCTTGGCCTCGCTGCATTGCATCAATCAATTAATTGATCGTTCAATCAAATCAATCAATTTCTCAACCCTGGTGCTTCGGCTCTGTCTCAACTCGTGGCCACATACCGCTTCCGATGAACTAGCAGCTGCTACTGTACCTAGGCAAGGTACTATTCTCTCGCTACTCTACCTAGTAGACTCGTTCATCCTCGCCATCCAATCTATCTCATCTATCTCACAGCCTTCCGATTGGGTGTGCTACTTGTTCCCCCAGTTCGTATTACGGTCATCATCATTGACACTGGTGCTTGGTGGCTCTTACCGTCTTTCACATGACGCTCACTGTCTCTAACTGCTCGCATTGAAGCCCCCGCCTCTTCCATCGCTTACAGCTAAGTCCCAGAGACGCATTCCTCCTCCCCGTGGGAAGGGTATAGCCTCAGGCTGATAATCAGGGACACATTGGATGTGAGTTCTCGAGTTCGCTGGGGTTTTCATGCGTTATCTGCATTCTGCATTCGTTGCCTTGCTCTTGGCAGACGGGCAGGACCCTCTCCTATGCCTTGTGCCCTCTGCCCCGTCATGTCTGCCAGCCTTCCTCCGTTCCCCCGATCCGACCTCCATTACCTTAACCTTGGACGCGGCTGCGGATGGAGCAGCCTGGTTCGAATGCACAACCGTGGTTCGCTCGTTTTGACTCGACCCTAGACTGTGACCGTCCCTTCGGCGTCCGGTCAGTCTCCCATTTCCCCGCGCTGAGACGCTAGCCTCTCCCTTATTCCCGAATGTACCTGGCGATGTCATCCCGACGGCCTTTTGGCTGCTCGCTCCTTGATAAAATGCGCCGTCCTCGCTGCGGACTTGACCCTTTCCCTGATGACCTCAATCTCACACACTTATCTCTTGATCTCATCTTGCCCTCTTGTGGTCGACGTGCGACGTGCCTCGAGGTGAAGCCCCGTGACTCCGGTGACTCCGCTGTGGTCATGAGATAATCCTCCTCCATGCCCTCCTACTGTCTCCAAGATTGTCATTATTTCAGACGCAGCGCCTTGCGTCTCTTATCGATTCCTACCTTCCTGGCTTGTCGCTACGCCTAGTTGATCAGACACACGGTCGGAAGAACCCAACTTGCTGACATCATGTCTTACTCGTCTGTTGCAGTGCGTTATTTCACAGCTCCCAAGCCGCTGGGAAAAGCCATGGAGCCTACTCGATCCCAGCCGTCGTCAACGCCCTTGACAGTGAACGGCTCGGCTAAGCAGGGATTGACGTTTGCCAACCAAGACTCCCTCCCCAAGTTACCTATTCCCGAGCTGGAGCAGACCTGCCAGAAGTACCTCGAAGCCTTGACCCCGTTGCAAGCCCCTAGGGAGCAAGACGAAACGAAAGCAGCCGTCCAAGACTTCCTCCGGTCGGAAGGACCCGTTCTTCAGGAGAAGCTCAAGAACTATGCTTCCTCAAAGACAAGCTACATAGAGCAATTCTGTATGTTGTTGCTCATTGTGATCGGTTGATCTTGGCTGACGCTCATTCAGGGTACGACTCTTACTTGAATTATGATAGTCGTAAGATCCCTTGTCCATCCGAGCATCAGGAGGAGTAAGCGGTGCTGACCCAATACCAGCGGTTGTTCTCAACCTCAACCCTTTCTTCCTGCTGGAAGATGACCCTACTCCTGCGAGAAACAACCAGGTGACGCGGGCAGCTTCGCTTGTCGTCTCTGCTCTGTCCTTCGTCCGAGCCGTTAGGCGGGAGGAGCTGCCCCCAGATACCGTCCGAGGTACTCCTCTGTGCATGTATCAGTACTCTCGTTTGTTCGGAACGGCACGTGTGCCCACCGACAATGGATGTGTCATCAGTCAAGATCCTCATGCAAAGCATATCGTCGTCATGTGTCGTGGCCAGTTTTACTGGTTCGATGCCCTGGATGAAAACAATGACTTAATCATGAACGAGAAGGATATCGCGGTCAACCTTCAGGTCATAATCGGCGATGCGGAGCAGACTCCTATCCAGGACGCTGCGAAGGGGGCTCTTGGTGTGCTGAGTACAGAGAATCGTAAGGTCTGGTCGGGTCTGAGGGATATTCTCACCAAGGACGAAGGCTCAAACAACGCGGAGTGTCTGAACATTGTCGATACCGCGCTCTTTGTTCTCTGCCTGGACTACACGGAACCACACAATACCTCCGAACTTTGCGCGAACATGCTCTGCGGAACAAGTGAAGTCATCAGAGGCGTTCAAGTTGGTACATGTACGAACCGTTGGTACGACAAGCTGCAAATTATCGTATGTAAGAACGGTAGCGCGGGCATCAACTTTGAGCATACCGGCGTCGACGGACACACGGTGCTTCGATTTGCCAGCGATGTCTATACCGACACAATTCTCCGCTTTGCCCGCACCATCAACGGCCAAGCACCCAGCCTGTGGGCAACATCGAGCCCGGATCCTGCTAAGCGTGACCCTCGGAGTTTTGGCAACGTCAGCACGACTCCGCGCAAGTTGGAGTGGGACATGGTGCCCGAGCTCAGCATTGCCCTGCGATTTGCTGAGTCGCACCTGTCTGATCTCCTGAAACAGCACGAGTTCCAAGTACTGGACTTCACTGGATTTGGCAAGAATTTCATCACTTCGATGGGGTTCTCACCCGATGCATTTGTACAGATGGCCTTCCAGGCAGCATACTACGGGCTTTATGGGCGACTGGAGAATACCTACGAGCCAGCCATGACCAAGTCCTTCCTGCACGGCCGAACAGAGGCCATTCGGACGGTCACCAGCGAATGTGCTGATTTTGTCACAACCTTCTGGGGGGAGAATCCGGCGGAGCAGAAGGTGAATGCGCTTCGGAAAGCAACCGAGAAGCACACGGCCATCACGAAGGAATGTTCTAAAGGTCAAGGACAAGACCGACACCTCTATGCACTGTACTGTCTCTGGCAGCGGTCCTTTGACGACGGGGCGTCGTCGGCCAGCAACAGTGTCTCCGAAGGCACCAATGGCTATACCAGCCCTGTAGATGGCGAGTCGATCTCATCGCCGAAATCCTCTGGCCCGATGTCAGAAGACGGGCTTTCGTCGACCGGCTACAGCGTTCGTGGTGTGCGCACCATGCCGGCCATCTTCAGTGATGCTGGTTGGGACAAGATCAATACCACGGTGCTGTCGACTTCAAACTGCGGGAACCCGTGCTTACGCCACTTCGGATTCGGACCGACTTCCGCGGATGGCTTCGGTATTGGCTACATAATCAAGGATGACACGATCTCGTTCTGTGCCTCGTCAAAGCATCGTCAGACTCAACGATTGATGTACACACTAGAGTCTTATCTGCTCGAAATCCGGAAGCTGCTGCGTGCCATCAACCAGCGACCGGCGAGTCCGCGCACAAGCCGGGCGCGCGAGATGGAGATGATCGCCGAGCGGCTCCAGAGTGATCACCGCCGGGGCCGGATCGTCCGGAGCGACGCGAGCCATCGGGGAGCCGAGACGCCCACCACGGACAGCGGAGAAATCGAGGATGATGGAATGGGCGGATGTAAGTGTTTTGGTCATTCTAAAGATCGAAATAGGCAGTTGCTAACAAGAGACCTATCAGATGGGTTCTTTGACGCCGGGATGTTGCTTCATGCACTGAAGGGGATCAATGCAGATCGGGAGCGTGGCACGGACAAGCCGGAGAAACGGCGATTTGTCGGGAAGAAGCTGCGGCTGAATGACTATTGATTCTACCTTGTGCGCTGCTTTCTGTATTGTTGTTTACATTTTTAGTCGATTAGCCGTGAGTTGGTGTTGGGTGTATATCCTTATGTTATATCCGTATCTAGTTGATACCAATCCTATATCAATCTCTGATAAAATGAGGAGCAGGATGCTCTTTCATCTTGTCATTTGGGAAGAGGTGTAAGTATGGGAGGC